TAATATCAGAGTATTGTGTACTTGACGGACATTTAAGGGTAGAGAATTTGGTACAATTAGGGATTGAAATCCTTAAATTTTTTATCAGTACATGTAGGTGCTAGGTTTTCATGCTTAATATGTGTATATATTCATTGTAAACTTTCTACAGGTATAAATATGTTTGACCTTAGCCCTGGAGTTAGACCCACTTAAAAAAAGAAATTAACCTTGGCAATTAACTTTTGAACAGGAAGTACTAGGGATTTCTTTATATTTCACGTGTGTATTCCTTGTGACAATACTTTCTTTTGATACCAACAATTTTTACCCTTTGACCTTGACCTTTGAGTTTGACATACATTTCAGAAATTTCAACCTTCGCCATAAGCTGCCATACATGGGCATCAGTGTTTAACAAACACATCTTATCTTCATTACATTTAAGTGGCTGTGTCTCCATATGAGGGAAAAATTCCGGAGAGAGATGTTTTCACAACAAACAATCAAATTACTAAAAATAACATAAAACATGAGCATGTTGGTTGTATCTCTTGTTCTCCCTTGAATCAGAAATGATAAAATAAATATTTTCAAAAATAATTAAATGTATTGCAAGATTTGAAAAGGTTGAGCATCTTAAAATCGACTAAGTTCTGTGATTGAATTAGCTATAAAAGTTTACTAGCTTAATTTTGCTACTCGAAACACCTTGATTAACCCTTTTCAATGATACTGTTTTCTGAAATGTTCAGTTTTTTCAACAATGGATACATATGTCATACATTTTCAGTTTCTCAAAAAAATTGCATGAAAAAAAAGCTTTTCAAATACTGTAACCATGGAAACCTTTACAAAATGCATGTGAATCCTAAGTTTTTAGCTCATTTGAGCTTTTCAGGTTTTTTTAATCACATTACATCTGTCGTCCATTTGTTTACATTTTTAACTCCTCTACAACCAGTGGGCCAATTTTAACCAATTCACATTGAAATCAGTATATGTACATCTGTATGTCAGTCTGTCAATTTAACCTTGGTCATCACAGTCATAACTATTGAATGGGAAGAGGCAAGGCATTTTAATTAAACATACGTATAATTAGTGTTTACCTGTCACAATGCCATGATTTTTTTACCCATGACCTTGAAGTTTGACCTACTTGCAAAAAAATTACATTGTTTAAATTCATCATTTTGAAAGAATTCATATTATACATGCATGTATATTATTACGTATTATAAGACCTTTCTAAATAAATCATGAATCTGTGACCTTGACCTTGAAGCTTAACGTACTTTTCAAAATGTTGCATTTGCTTATAACTTTGGATTGAGAAAAAATATGACTTTCACATTTGACATGTACCAGTACAATTCTCGTAAAAATTCAAGATGCTATGATTTTTTACCCTATGATGTTGATGTTTGCCTAATTTTCAAAATATTTAACTCTCCTAAAAGAATATCAGGCTACTGATTTGACCCCCCCTCCCCCGGGGCAAAATCAAAATTCTGAAACCTTATTGCACATCTAGATGACACCACCAACCATCTCCCAAAAGATGATTAAGCTGCTGAGTAAAATGTAGAAGGAGTTCAGGGAAGAAGGGGCTTTTAGCATAAAAAACGTCATTTTTCGACCCCCATTTGACCCCCCGGGGCAAAATCAAAATTCTGAAACCTTACCGCATATTTCCATGACACCACTAACCCTCTCCCAAAAGATGATTAGGCTGCTGATTAAAGTTTAGAAGGAGTTCAGGGAAGACGGGGCTTTTAGCATAAAAACGTCATTTTTCGATTCCCATTTGATCCCCCGGAACAAAATCAAAATTCCAAAACTTTACTGCATATCTACATGACACCACCAACCATCTCCAAAAAGATGATTAAGCTACTGTGTAAAATGTAGGACGAGTTCAGAGAAGAAAAGTGTGACAGACGGACGGACGTACGGACATGAGTAACAACAATATACCAGAACTTTCTTTAGAAAGTGCGGGTATAAAAACGTCAGTCAGCATTTGTATTAACGAGGCTGGGGGGTGGCAGCCATTTTCAGACTATTTCTATCTCCTTTAAAAGAAGAGCTCCCTATAAAGATAAAGAAAATAGTCAAATTTTAAAAATATTTTTTTTTTAAATATTTCTTTGCCAAATGATAGTTGACAGCTTAAGATATCATATTTAAAAAAATAAGTTAAATCTGGTGGTTAATTTGTGATTAATTTGTTGACCCCCCAGCCTCCTTAATAATAAATTGTATTTGCTGAAAACGTCATTGTATCGACCATAAAATTTACGAAATGATGACTTTAAACGAGATTCTTGATATTCTTGTTTCATCAACTTGCTTGTCAATAATTTACCTCGTGTCCTTGTGTATCGAGTCAACTCAGAAATATACACACCGTATGCAGGTGATAAAGGTATATTGTATATAGCTGAATAAGTAAGGGAAGTTGACGATTGAAAAGTTAAAGTCATCACGTTTATCATATAGCTTAGCTGTTAGATTACCATGAAATTCCTCTTCAAGTAAAATATCCAGGTATGTAACAAATGTGTCAGACTCTATGGTATCTCTTATTTCAAGCTCACCAGGATATATCGTATCGACGTAGGAATGGAAATTACCATTGTTAATTGACAATACGTCGTCGATGTATCTAAACGTCGAGTTGAAGGCCACAGCAATTGTTTTCTTCTTTTCATGCATAAGATTTTGCACAAATTCTGCTTCATATGAATATAAAATAGGTCGACTAATAACGGAGCGCAATTTGTATCCATGGGAATTCCAATATATTGTTCGGATACCTAGTCTCCAAAAACCACAGTAAATAAATAAACAAGAGGCCCAGGGGCCACATCGCTCACCTGAGCACACCGGCTAGGTAAAAGCACAGGTCAGGTCAGAACTGAAAAGTTTACTAAGGGGGGGGGGGGGATGGTGTCCTACCCTCCAAATCCCATAAGGACATAATTTGAACAAATTTAAATCTTCAATACATGAGGATGCTTACATGTCAATGTGACTAGACATAGCTTTTCTGTTTTTGTGTTCTTTGGATCTTTCCTTTATTTTTCTATGTAAAACATTGAACAAACTAAACTCTACACTAAGGAGGATGATTCCATATAGATATCACTAATCATGGCTTTGAAGTACTTGAGAAGAAGATTTAAAAAGATTTCCCTATATATTCCTATGTAAAACTTTCATCGGCCATTGTGGCCCCGCCCTACCCCCGGATGTCATGATTCGAACAAAATTGCATCTACACTACCTTAGGATGATTACACATGAGTTTCATCTATCCTGGCACAGTGGTGTTTGAGAAGATTTTTAAAGATTTTTCCTATGTACTCCTATGTAAAACTTTGATCGGCCATTGTGGCCCTGCTCTACCCCCGGGGATCATGATTTGAACAAATTTGAATCAACACTACCTGAGAATGTTTCCACATGAGTTTCATCTATCCAGGCCTAGTGGTTTTTTAATTCCATTAATTTTTCTCTAATTCGAAATTATCTCCCCTTGGATGAGAGCTTGGCCCTTCGTTTGAACAAACTTGAATCCCCTTACTCCAAGGATGTTTTAAATATCATAAGTTACATACGTCACAATGATTTACGTCAAAAAGGCATTACCCTACTTGACGCTAATTTTGAATTATGCTCAGTATTACGCTAAATTAGTTAAAATTTACATTATATACCCCCACATTTGATGTTCTTTTTAAAATATTTAGGATATCTTCGAACTATCTGCTTAAATTCAGCAACAGTTTAAGAATTTTAAATAATTTTCTTGATTATTAAATTTTCAATGGCAGTAAAATATCAAACATTATGTGAGTGCAGTAATGTCAATTAATTAAATATGCGAAGCAATTTTAAACTTTTTCTATGTCACGATTTTAAAATGACTAATTTAAAAAAAAAAGAACAAAAAAAACTTATACCCCGGGAGTTTATCTGGTTCCTGCTTTTTTGATAAAAATATTGGAGAGGAAATGTCAAAGATGTAATTTGTTATTAAGACATAAATTTCAGTGCAAAATGGTCATATCAAATATACTGTAGCGCCAAAAGAAGCATATTGTCCCAATTTTTGTTAAGCTATGTGTGTAGAAACTAAAACTATACTTGATAAAAGACTTGAAATATTAGAAGCAAACCTCATTAAGCAAATTTTAATACTGTCGTTAGACACATTAAGGTTTTCTTTTTATACTTACTGTTGCATGTTCTTATGTTTTCAGGGATAATGCGATTAGGATTTCGTAATAAAATTACTTTTTAAAATAGTTGGCAAAATATAATCAGGTTTTTAATTCTCCATCCACTATGAGCCAACTTTTGTTCGTGCGCTAAAAATATCTGAGAGTTTCGCGACCTACGTTTACTTAACTCGCGTACTTAATAATTTTGGCTTCTATCTGTAAAGAATTTTTCTTCAGTCGCGAAAATTAATTGATTGTCGCGGAGTTATTTCAATCTTGTTAATAAATTATGAGACGAAAGGAATAAATTAATCAATTGAATTCTCGTCAGTTGTGACAGGTCTACAGGGTATGTTTGCACATCTTTGGCATCTGATCCCACATCTGGAATAACCAGTGTTGAGTTATTTTTGCTCCGTTCACATATTTGTATGGTTTGAAATTTTAGGAAACCAATTATTTTTCGTTATCAGTGTTCTTTTCTTAATTTTTGATATTGATCAAGAGTGGGGTAAAAAGTAGGTAGAATTTCCCAAACCAGTGTTGATTATTTAATTAACAATCTGTCAACAAATTTCATATTTTAACATTAATGTTATTTAAAGAACGTCTTAATCGAGTGTGTGTTAAATATAACCATGACAGTAGATAATCTTTACGCAGAAGTATATTTAAAGAAAAATATTTTTAAATCAATGAAATCAGTTAAAAAGTCTTGATTTATTGCAATATACAAAGGTTAGTTTCTCCTTATTTTCTTCTCTCTTTTTAATAAGGACATTGCTTGAAGGCAATTGGGAATGGATATCTGGATCAAACTAGGTGTTCTCACTTTCAATATGGTTGTCCAACAGAAAATTTCAGAGGAACTGATATCTTCAAATGTTTGTATTTCATATTTTTGAACCAACTTGAAGTTTGAAATAATATAACCTACATCTTAAGAATATCATTCAATTATTATTTTGCTTAGTTTCAGCGTGCACAGAAATAAACACAGAGCAACGGTGTTTCTACGCAGAAACCTCTTGTCGAAGATCGTAAGTTTTTAATTTTTTTATTTCAAAGAATGGCTGGACTTAAGGGCAGATGAGACAAACAAAAAATGGATCCTGGACTTGTAAACATCTTTTTGCCTAATTTCCTTGCAAATGATGCACATACTAAATTTCTAGAATATAAAGAAATTGTTAACCTTCTGTGATGTTCATCAGTCTGCCCTTCTGAAACCATCCTTATAAATCTATGCAAGAAGGATATGGAGATAACGAACAGTATTCAATCTCAAAGTCCATTAAACAATACAAAACAAGAGCAGAGCAAATGCGGACTTCCGAAACATCAGAGGTGGAATCAGGTGCCATGGAATAGTGAGCATTCCCTGCTGACCGGTTACCCCCGCCGTGTGCTCATTGTCATGATTGTAAAATAACGGAAAAATCCGTCGTTAATTCGGTGTATAACTAATGGACTAACAATTAGTATGAAAAACGTCAGTCAGCATTTGACACAATGATAAATTGTATGTGCTGACAAGGTCATTGCATCGACCATAGAATATTTTTCACTTCAAATTTCATTTCTGTGAAAATTTGAATAAAAAATTAAAAACTAGAAAGTGAAAGATTTTCATTTTACTCATTTAAACATGACCCAAGTTGTCTTTTTTTTCAATTTTTTTGACAAAAGTTTGTTTGTATCATCTGTCCTTAAGTATCCAGAAAAAGCTGCTTTATATGGAAATTTTATTAAAAATGTCACTTTTTTTCCATGATATAAATTAACAACTAGTATACGGGAATCTTGACCTTGTATTTTTGCTACAGATATAAATTTAAAGTGCTCCATTTTCACAAAAAACGAATAAAAATCGAAGAAATGGATCCCAGAGATTTCTTGAATATCATGAGATAATCCGGATATTTTTTTTTTATCCCCTTCGTACGAAGTTAGCGCATATTTTTCGGCTGTTTTTATTTTAATTTTTTTAAGCATGCAGAACAAAATAATGTCCTATTATAAGGAAAGGAAGAAGAAATTGTTTGCTTATATTTAATTTTACACAAATGTGCATGTGTTCAATGCAGACTTTTCGCTTTCATTGTTAGGACTGAGTTAAAGATAGTATTAAATTCTTAAAAAAAACGTGACATTTTCATCCTTGTACGACTTGTTTCATACAATTTTTTATAACCGTATTCCGCAACATTTCTTTCGGAGACATTTTATAGATACATATTTACCCAGTAAATTGACTCAGTACATTTGAATGATTTGTTTGCATGATTGTCGAATTGTGTACATATCTGATCGTAAAGCATTTGCAAACAAATGAGTTGATCAAGACATTTCAAATCCACTACAGATAAACAGTCATAATAATATCTATGAATGATCATTGTTTTAAATCACAAATATGATAAAAAAGTGAAAGAAATGCAAGTTTGGAAGAAAAGTTTAGTTTTGCGAGTAGGTATTTTTAAAGTACGTCATTATATGCAGAATAAACTTTAAATTAAAAAAGGCTCAAACTCGTGAACATACTTTGAAATTATTTATCATTGAAATGGAACAAATATTCAACATCTTTTTTCTATGCATATTCAGAAAACCTGTCGAAGGCTGTAAACCTATCCATACCTGGTAATAAGATCACTGCTCCGGTTTGAAGACTTTCAAGTGATATATACACCCTAAATTCCGTGAATTGAAATGTACATGACAAAACAGTGATAATTTTTGAAAAAAATCAATTGTTAATACAATGTAACTACTCCGGAAAGTCTAACACGTCGATACACTAAGCCATTACTAATCAAATTTCGTTCAGTGAAATATCACAATTTAAAATGGAATTTATCTAGATTTTGCGCTGGCCAAAAGGGGGTGGAGGTAGCTAAAGTTACTGTGTTACTGGAATTGAAAAGTGTATAGTTCGTATTAAAATGTTATATATTCTGCGAAAAATCCGAAAATAATACGATGTTAAAATGTTTCAATAAAAGTTTGGATAAAAGATACAAGTTAACATCTGCACGCGCTATCGGTTGTTACTGAAATAAATCAAAATCTCCTATATCGGTCGTAGAAATGGACAAAATATTACTTTTTTCGAAAATGTTGACATCTTTGTATAATGAGTTTATTTGTCAAAAGCCTTCGCACCTTTGAAACAATTAATTGTACTTACATGTAAAATGTTTTGTTTTGTTTTCAATCTCATTGGGGTCAGGAAGCAAATATTTTTGGTAAAACTGGAATATAATATTGTTACAAAAATAAGTGAACATAATGATAGAAAATGTTATATTCAGTATATACAATGTGTAAAGAGAACAAAATACGAGGGTTGTCCCGTAAAATCGTGGACAAAGCGTTTTTCTCGAAAAGTAATGGGCGCACTAAGCTGAAATTTTCAGTAAATGTTTATTCATCATATTTAAGTGTATCATAATGTTTTTGATAATATATATACAAAAATAAAGATTTTATTCTGCTTGAAGGTGCACAGGGTACGGTCCTACGGCGCACGGTAAAAATAACAAGGTTGTATTAGAGAATATACAAGTATTAATTCGTAATAAAAGTTTTCAATACAGAAGATTAGGATGAAAATTATCCTAATTCGATTCCTTAATCAATTCTATTGTCGTTTTGAAAATTTCAAGGCATTTGGTTAAATTTTGGTTGTTTCCCGAGCATTCGAAATGGAAAAGTTGTATACACAATACACGAAAAATGGCGACGTTTCATGACGTTACGGCGCATCGGAGAGCAGTTCAGGTAGATTAGGATGTTTTAATGACACTTTAAAAGACTTTAAATGAATACGGAAGAACGAAAATATGAAAAATATCACCAGATTTTTAGTATACAAATAAAATGGACGTTTTCTTAGCGAAGTCTTCTTGATTGAGTCCCAAGATAGTACAAAACATGCGGACAGACTGCCATTGTAATAGTAAAAGACGCTGTCACTGTCGACCGTCGATATGAGATTCTCATTTACTTGACTGATGGTGAGAATACTGTCCGTAACTTGCTCACAAATCTTCAGAAGATCGCATGAGGGTGCCACATTGGTTCCTTAACTGGTAATAAACTCTCACGTGTGTAAATCAATCAAATTTCTAAATTTAAGTGGGGCATATCCAACTTTATTTTAGCAAACATGAAGCGTGACGCTGTTTTAGACACGTCGACGTTATCATCCGTGCGCTGTAGGGCGCTACAGTACATAACATAAAATATCACAATTTGTTTATTTATGCACATATATATTTGAAATTTGCTATGTATATTTATAATATATGTACTAAAAAGTAGTGAAACTTTCAGAACGCAGTGATGATTATTTTTCAAACTAGACAACTTGTCCACGATTTAACGGGACAACCCTCGTAGATGATATTTTGCTAAAAGTCATTCATACAAACCTTTCAAGAATTTTTCATTTATTGATGAAAAAATAAGATGACAAGAAAAAATTCAAGGACAATGTAATAGATAAAAGTAACAACTTTGAGCAGATTGACAACAGAGACCAGCCATGAAATTGAAGAATCTGGTAAAGTAGAATTGGTAATTGGAGGTACCCTCAGCCAACTATTTATAATGGTTCTAGTTATTGCCTGTTTAATTTGGAAAAGAAGAAAATGGAGGAGAAGATCCAGATCAAATGAGCTAAGAATTGGTAATGTTCAAAACATGAAGTGTTTACAAAATCAATAGTTTCATTATTTTTTGTAAATTTATTCGTTTTTTCTCTGATTTGTTTTCTTGATTGTTGGTGTGTTTTTGTTGCACTATATCAACATGATGTGATTTAACAAAATATTACAAAGCAAAGTTTACATGTATATGTTACCCAAATGAAACTACCAAGAATTGTTTCTTATTTTCAGTTGAGAAGGAGAGATTGAACTGTAAAAAGAGCGACAATGTATTTTATCAGAGCTGCACTGAAAGAGGTACACACACATACACACACAAACAACATACGTATCCTCGCTCTTACATATACAATTCCTAACATTCCCTCACTAAAACTTTCTCTCTGACACACACACACTCTCTCTCTCTCTCTCTCTCACTTACAAAAACCCTCTCCCTCACATACTCACACTAATTCTCACAATATTTAAATTATAAAGACAGTCCTCCTCGGGATAGGCAATTGAAAATGCGTCGTTGAATTTCAAGGGACAATACTAGAAAAACACTTGTTTATTCGGTTTATTTACTAGGTATTTACAGCACAAGTATTGGGTATACTCTAGATTTGACGCCGTTTACTAGTATATGTTGATCTCTTTAAATAATTGATTTTTAAAGCATGTTATGCATCATATAATTATCAATAACCATAATGAGAACAAAAAATATGAATGTCCATATTGATATGTAAACAGAATAGAAATGTTAATAGTGTTGTTTTTTTTTCATAGGTAAACTTGAGAAGAAAAGATTGAAGCCTGAAAGTGGTATTTAGATTTTTAAAGGTGTTTCGAAAATATATTAAGACACGGGGAGAGAAAAAGAGAGAGGTTTCTTATTAAGATATATTTTTTGATATGTTTGCATTCAGCACATCTGTTTCATATTTGTATTTTTTCTAGAAAAAGAAATTGATTGGTAATCTAAAAAACAAAGCCTTATGATAAACAAGATGATTTACTTTTCAATCGTAAACTTCCCTCACTGGAATGAAGCAATATACTTTATCACCTGCTCAAAAGGCTCAAATATATCACTTGATTCGATACGCTAGAGCATTCTCTGATAAACATCTGAAATAAGGCAATTAATTGGCTAAAAGCTTGATGAAAAAGTATACCAATAGTTTCGTTTCAAGTCATCAGTTAACACGTTATATGGTCGGAACAGTTTCTTTTCAGAAAATACAATTATCATGAAGTCTAAACTGACTGCTTTCCTGATCATGACAAGTTTGGTATGACCATTTTGCAGGAGATGTTCACTATTGCATGGCACCTTATCCCATCTTTACTTTTTTAGAGGACCGTGTTGCTATGCCCCAGATTTGCATCGGTTGAATGATCGTTTGAGCTTAAACAATGTTCGTTATCTCCATATCGTAAGGAACAATACCCCAATCTCTCTACTTTGCCTAACTAGTTCTGTTTTCTAAATTTTTAACTTCTTTCCATTGCACATATATGGAATTTATAAGAAGAAAATGTTTTAATAGAAGGGGTAAGGGTTGAAAATAAAAATGACCTTCGACAAAGGGCTACAAACGTTTCCTATGATTAATAATTAAGAAGCCTTGCAATATTTAACTTTTGCGAGAATGTGTTTTCTTTAAGTGGGTTTAAAAACCTCTGCTTTGCTTGCTAGACCCAGTCTCATTAATCAAAATTCTTTCTGAAGATGCAACCATTTTTAGATTTCTTTTATTTGCATTTATTTATGATGAGGTACATCGATTAACTCCATGATTGATAATTATAAGAATAGGAGCAGGAGATAGAAGTTGTTTGCATTGTTCTTGAAAGTTCACCTCAATTCAAAAATTTTATAATCCTGTTTATAATCATGTTTAGTGTCCAGTTCAGGAATTGTCTGTTTATAGTTAAAGAACAATGCTCACAGCTGAGAATAAACTATTTACTATTTAATTCTTTCTTAATATATATGAATTCATTAGCGGTGATATATACTGTTTTATTTAACATAACTCAAAAGGCTATTCAAATACATCATATTCACATCAAAAGATTATTAAAATAATCCCCTGATTAAAATATATCCACATTTTTTTAATCATTTCATCTTTTCATCTTTATTAACTTAAAAAGATTTAAAAAAAAAAAAAACAAGTTGAACTATGACAGAAATATGAAGGCAAAATATCATCTCGCTATTTGATTTGGTCCCACTTTAACCTATTCTCCTTTTCCATTTATGGCGTTGTTTTATTAGAACATATGTATGAGAAATCGTTATTTAAATATGGACATTTCAGTTATTTCTTGATTATGAATGAAATATATTTGATCTGCATAACAAAGAAAGACTCGTTACGTCTTTGAATGCCATGTGACACACACAAATGCTTTGATCATGATCAAAACTTATTGTACATGGTTGAACAACAAATTTATACCAGAAAAAATCAGACTTGATCTATATTTGTCACTATAAATGTAACCAGCAAGTCTCAGTTCACAATAATCTCGTTTAGAACTTATATTCAGATAGTGCATCACGACATAGACATCATAAAACCTATTGTGAACCCAATTATAAAATAAAAAAATAAAAATACCATAATTCTTCCAAACATCAATAAAGCAGAAGAAATGCAAACTTAATCTATAACTTATCGAGAAAAAACATATCCAGCAAATTTCAAATCATGACAATCACGTTTAGAACATGAATTTAGTGCATCACGAACACTATAATGAACCCAATAATAAAAGTAAAAAAAAACAAAAATACCGTATTTCTCAAAAATCAATTAAGCAGAACGAAATGTGAACTTGATCTATAACTAATGATGGTGAAGTATCATACTAAAAATCAGCTAAATATCTGCCAGCATTCAGAAAAAAGTGCAGAAACCAAGTAGGACAGACTGACAGACAGACGGGGACAAACTGACAGACGGACGGATGGACAACTGGACGGACGAACAGACAGACGCAGAGGAAATCTATTGTCCCCTACGCTTTCACCGGTAAGGGGCTAATAACAGGATAAATATGACGAAATATTAGAGAAAAAGTCTTAAAAATTATACAAATGACAAATTATATTTCTTATTAGTTCGCATTGGTTGGAATTTAATATAAACGAAATTAAGATATTTCTCTCTCTTTCTTTCTATGTATCTCACTTTCAGATGGCGAGGGTTTTTACTGTAGATGTATTCATGTGTTTTTTCATTCTTTGTTTGATCTTTAAGGTTACATTTCAAATTTCGTATATGGTTATATATAATAAAAAACACAATATGTGATTCGCATTTAATTTGTTAATTATTTGTTATTCTCTTTTAAATTATAAATTCATCAATATCAGTAAAATTAGAGACATTTAAGCATATCTTTATTCAGGTTAGTGAATCCTAAGTGGATTTTTTTTTAATTTTAACAGATAGTCACGTTTTTGTTGAGAGGAACATACATTGTACTGTTACATGGATATTCAAAAATTAATTATTAATTTTTTTTCTCGCATTTTAGCTCATCTGAGCCAAATTCGAAGTAGCAAGTACATGTAAGCTTTTCTGATAGAAATTTGTCTGTTATCTCTTCTCGTTGTCGATGGCGATGTCGTCACTGTAGTCGTATTCTTTTCACATTTGTATCTTCCACTCAAGAACTACTAGAACAGTCAAATTATCAAATTTTTCATCAAAATAAGAACTTATTGCAACAGTTAAAAATTTAGTTTTAATCAATCTAGACATGATCTGAATATATAACAAAAAGTTCAGAAAATTTCATACATGGGAAAATTGAGAATTTGAGGTCATGATTGGGACGTATTGTGTTCACTCTGATTAAGTGTCAAACGAACAATGTAAAGCAGAAACCTATACTGGTTTTTAAAAAATGTAAGTAGGGAAATAAACTTTACTGAATAAACTGAAGGGGAAAAATATAAAATTTTGGTTGCTATATGTGTTAGTTGCCATGGAAACAGTATAACTTGAGAATTTCACCTACCTTTGAACAAGGAACCTTAACAAACACAAATACAGTCACTACGTAAGTTTACACACATACTCAAAATGCATTTTCTTGCCATAAATTCTTCAAAAAAAATTATTTAGAAGATTTATGTAAATAGGTTGTAACCATGGATACATTATATATTAGTTTAACATGAAGAAAAATCTCCGTATTCAGCAATCGAATGTACTCAATCACCAACAGTTAAGAAACAATAAAAAAAATTACTCAATATGAAAGGTAATTTCCGAAAATAATTAGGAGCTTATTTTGAAGGTCAGGGGACATCCCCCAATAAGATTTTTTTTATGAAAAAGTAGCGCCCCCCCCCAAAAAAAAACACCTGAATCCCTCCTGTAACTAAAAGGATTTCCCCGTATATGGAGAAATTTGTGGGAAGATCTAACAAAGCTCCATCCTCCCCGAAATAGATTTATATGTCTTTATTCTTGATTAGATAGGATGTTAATTTTTTTTGGTGAAAAAAAATTCTTTTCACAAAAAACTTTTGACACCAGTTTTGAGTCCCTGCAATATGATTGGTTGGTAACTTGTATAAAATGCTCAGAAATAAAAAAAAAAATACTCTGTATACATCAGTATCATAAAACGAGTGTACAGTGCAATGAGTTTAATGGTTCTTGCTTGATCAGACTTGAACCGACCCCACATCTTGGACTCTCCAGGGTATTTCTTGTCATTAGTTTAATAAAAGTGCTATCTTACTCATATCAAGTACATGTATATCAATGTATTTTTTTACCTTTTAAATAATGAAACCGCGCCCTCTGGTGTAATTAGAACATAGCAACAGTCAATGTTGCTTCATGGATGGTGATATTCCAAAAAAATATTTCAAGACTTTTTCAGTGTAACCCTCAAGTACATGCAATAATATGAA